CCTCTGTTCTTGAATTTTATTGTATTCTCAAGGCAGATTGCTATCAAGCATATGATTCTGTTTCCTGTCATAAATGTATAAATGTCTGCTGTCTCTTGAGTGCAGCTATTCTCTTCATTTTATATTATGGAATATATTCATAGGTCAGGGCACATCTTGGGACAGAACCGATAATTGTCCATCCCTTATTCTTGCTTAAATGGGTGAGTGTGTCAGGACCTGACATTTGCCCAGGATCCATGTCTATAGGTTCTGCTTAGATCTGTACCCACTTTCGCTGACTGCTATTAAAATCTTAAACCAGAAGGGAGGCTCTTTAAGGTAAATTTATGTTACATATCAGAGGCACAGAAGCTCAAATGGAATACAGAGGAAGAATAGGTTCCTAGTGGGTGAAATTCATCTGTGTCCATTTCCTTCCCTGGAGAAACTGGAATGTGGGATCCAGCATTCTGGCCTAGTTTTGCTTGGCCATTGTCTATTCTAGGGATGTCCCGTGACTCTTCTTAATCTGCCCCTTTTTGCCACTGTCCTTTTACCTGGGATAAACCATCTCTGGCCTCCTCGGACAGTCCTATCTTAATGTCACTGAGCCCTTGCAGGAAGAATGCTCTGCGTGCCCAGGGCTTCCCCCACTCCTCCCAGCCCTGGCCCTCTAGAGAGGGGACCTCACTGGAGTTTCCCCACGTCTTCATTTACTTTGAAAGGGAATTGGGGATAAAGCCTTAGTATTTACTTTCCATACCCCCCACCCCACTTATTCTCTGTGTAGCAGAAATTCCTCAAAGTCTGAGCCACGTAGATGATCTCTTCCTGTAGCTTCCAGTGCTGACGCCAGATTTTTATGATTCTTACTGCTGGGATTTGGAGACGAAGTTGCTTGTGTTCCAACTGCTGTCTTACCCTGTTTGTTTTATGTTTATTTTGAACATGAAATTCGAAAACGGAGTTCGGAAAAACACGGATACCTGAGAGACAGAATACTTAACTAATTTCTCTCTCACTCGAGAGCTACAGACTTCTCCTAGATTTGTTTCATGCATAACAGTAAGAAACATTTTGAGAAAATTGCGTTCCAGGTTAAGGGCATACAATGAACAAGGGCACAGAGACAGGACGTACAAGGAACAGAACTTCAGGTAGCTAGGCTTATGGTCCGAAAGCAGGGTGGGTGGAGGGGAGTCCTAGGTGAGAAGTCTCTCCATCACCGGGAAGGGCCTGGAGCTGGGCTTTGTTCAGTTTTTCAAGAAAGAGCCCTTGCAAACACGTGATCGACATGACTGACCTTCTTTATGGATACTGATCTGCCAGTTGGGAAGGTAGCAGTTGTAATGTGACATTTGCCAGAGGTAATTGACTTCTGAATACGTTGAGTATGTACAAGAGCTCACATATCCTTGGATCAAAGTAGACACCACCGCCAGGTATCCTGTATGATGAAGTAGGTGCTGGGGAAAACCCACACCGTTTGAAGACCATTCTGTAACCAAACAAGGAGACCAGTGAATTAGAGAGATTCGATAACATTTTTAAAATAAAAAGTAACTGCAGACACACGTGCATATATATGTTTAACTTATAACAAAAGATAGATAACGTAGGGCGCCTGGGTGGCTCAGTTGGTTAAGCGACTGCCTTTGGCTCAGGTCATGATCCTGGAGTCCCTGGATCGAGTCCCGCATCGGGCTCCCTGCTCAGCAGGGAGCCTGCTTCTCCCTCTGACCCTCCCCCCTCTCATGTGCTCTCTGTCTCTCTCATTCTCTCTGTCTCAAATAAATAAATAAAATCTTTAAAAAAAAAAAAAGATAGATAAGGTAGACCAACAGTGAATGTGGGACGTGGTCCTTGCTTCCAACTGCCTGTCACTAAGAGCAGATTTTTGCATAAAAATAAGAGCAATGAAATACTGATAGTATTTTTAAAAATATGTGTTAAAATAGTTTTTAAGAAGAAATACCATCAGTATTATTTTTTTAGATATGCCTGGAATGCCTCACAGGACACCCAAGCCTCACAGAAAATCTGAGAAAGCCATGGTCAAACAGAGCTGGAGTTGCGTCCCAGATTCACTGTTTACCCTCCAAGTGACCTTGTCAAATTTTCCATCTAAAATAAGGGATGATAACTTATAGACGTGGGTTGTTTTTTTTTTTTAAATTAAATTAGATAATTTTCTTTGTTTTTTTAAAGACACATGGTACTTACTATGGAGTTATACACATTTTTTTTTTTTTTTTGGTGTGAAAATTATCCGTTGTTATCATGGCTTTACATTCTGGGAGCAGATGGAAACATGCCCTACTTGGGGTGTTTTCAACATGGCGCCCGAGCACGTGGTGGATGTGTCGTCTGAGATGCCCCAGAAGAAAGAGGGTCTGGTTCGACACTGTAGGGAAACTGAACGCCCTAGGCTTGTTGAAAGCTGGTATGTTTGTGTGCAGTTGTACCTTCAAAACCATGGACGCTGTACTTCTGGGTGATTCAGGGGATTTTCGAGGCTCACCTTGACTCTATATATGTGTGGTTTTTGTTTTACAGATTGACCTTCGAGTCTAACATCTGTCTTCAGGAGGCAATAGCTAACCTAGAACAGATCCTTAACCAGTAGTGGTACCTTGAAGGTTTTCCTTTATTTAATGAGTTTGCTGCCGTACACCTGGCTGTATGCTTAACATTTCTTAGTATCCTTTATAGAATACAGAGTCTTATTTTTCCCTGGACCAGAGAAAATGTAATACTTCATTTCTTGCCAGAGTTGTTACTGGTTGATCCCAGGCAATCGTACGACAGGCTGGTGTAAAGGAATTTCAAATCTATTTATGATGAAAGTACTGTACTAAATAAAACCAATAGCGTTCTTAATAACTGCTTTCTATGGTTGTTCAATTCAGGCTTTGTTTTGTGAATCCCCTTACCCGCCCCACCCCACACACGCTTGCACACACACACACACACACACACACACACATGCACATCCCTGTTACGACATGGGTGGGGGGTGTTTAGTTCAGCAGCTTCTCTGATCTTAAACAACTTGCAGAGTTTTCTCAAACTGACTTCCTGTTCTGGCCAAGCAGATTGATCCGTTGAAATATGGTCTTTGGGTATCTGAAGGCAGGAGGACTGGGAATTGGCTCTTATCACCTTGCTGGGTTCTTACGGAGTCCAAAGGACTCCTGTTTATTATTTGATATATGGAATCACAGAGAAACTTAGGTAATTGAAGGAAACACTTGAGCAGATGTAGAATTGCTTTCATTAAATTATCAAGGAATGAGACAAAAACGAATTTTTAGACAAGATCTCCCTTTGAAGGGTGCCCTGAGTTTCTGCAAAGCCCTTGGTAGCTGGTCCTTTAAATGGGCTGGTGAGAAAGTGGCCCACTTTGTTTCCGACCTTCCTTGGAATGGCCGGTTTGGAAATCGGAGATTTTTTTTTTTTTTTTCCTGCTTAAACCTAACCTGATTTCATTCTCTTTCTGCATCTTCCACACCTGATTTTATACTGCATAACACACCGGGGAAAATACAAAAAAACCAACTCATTCAATTAAAAAATTTTCTGAAATTCCTGATATTTTTTCAAAGAAGTCATCAGTGTCTTGGTTGTTTTTTTTTTTTTTTTACTCCAAAGAAGGGGCTGTGGAGACAAAGGTGTGGTTAAGTTCTGCTTCACTTAAACGTTTTCTGTTCACATTGATCACAAAACAATAGACGGAAGCTTCGAGAACTAAGGACAGGTAAATCCAACCACCGAAGCTTATGAGAACTGATCCCAAAAGATCAGTAAATAAATATTTTAAACTTCCACTGACCTTATTAAAATACACTGCGAGAGATACTCTGTTTGAGCCATTCTCATAAATTAGTTATCTTCTTGCAAAACAGCTGGTGGCAGTTTGCTATAATAAAAAGAGCAGTGCCTCAGAAATCAGAAGACTGGGAGATCTTGCCTTGGCTCGTTCACAGGGAGATTAAATGACATGCTAACGTGTCCCGGATGAGGATGCCATGCATGAGAAGACTGAATCAGATGATCAGTCTTTAAAAGACTCTCTCATGAGTCTGTGCTCGAAGTTAGAATCCGTAGGAAGAGCTTATCAAGAATGTTTGGGTGAGACTAGAAGTTTCGCCTCCCGCAGCATTGCAGGGTTTACTAAAGGGGACTGTTACGGTTCCCTCTCTGAGGGCAAATTATGTCCAAGTCAGGATTCTGTTGCACATAGCGGATCACTGTCTGGTTGGCTTAAGCAGAAAGGCCTTCAGCACCTTGCAGGGTTGTTGGGAACGCTGAAGAAGCAGACTCTAGGTTGAGTTTCCAGGAACAACTCCCAAAGCCACAACACAGAACTGGGCTATCGGCGGGGGGGGAGCCTCAAAATCAGGATGTCAGCTGCCTGGCTGGAAAGCTACCCCCTCGGTTACCAACAGGAAATGCCCTGTGCCCTGCCTCCCTGCCCCTGACTCGGGTCCCGATCCAGGTCTTGTCCTCATCTTTCTGATGGGTAGAATCTAAATCTGAGCTCCTAGGTGCAGGGGAGTCCTGAGATGACATCTTCCCAACCTCTGTGTCTCAAATGGGGGTTGGAATATACCCTCTGAGAAGCCAATCCATTGTATCCACCATGGACAATATAGCTACACGTTTATGATAAATAACATTTGTATTTATTTATTTATTTATTTATTTTTGGGTAATATACAGAGTCGAATTAAGATCCTTTTTGTTTAGAGCTAATGTCAAGTCACTCTGCCTCTAAAAATACTATTACTGGCCATTCCCAAGGAAACGTCTGGGATAAAAATTGAGAGCAAGATCTATATTATTTCCTGGAGAGGCAGACCTGATACAGAAAACAGGATTTGAAACTTGGGATCCTCCTTCCAGATTTGTTTTTCCATCTTGGTTCTGTTTTCATCTGTGTCTCTTCCCCCGCGCCACACCCACCCCCATGGGACCATCCTCCACCTTTTCAACCGGATGTGCTCTTTACCATGCAGACCCGTGAACGAAGAGTCGGAGCCACCCGAGGTCGAGGCTCCCGGCCGGTGGCATGGCGTCTACGTGAACAGAACGTCTCCAACACCTTCAGAATCTGCGACCACCGTTAAGTCCCTCATCAAGTCATTCGACTTGGGACGGCCAGGTATTTATCCTTCCATCTCATGAGCAAAAGTCACATTCAGACTGTGGCCCCACGTATCAAGCCTGTCTCTACTCCCCACTGGCCCCGAATGGATGCAACCACAAGGGCTGTGTCTGGATCATTCCACGCGGAGCCAGTGTGTCCAAGAGACCTGCCCACGGCCAACTGCATAGACTCAGTTGCACAGTGTTCCTCAGTTTCCTAGGAAATGAAGCCTCTGGTTGGCACAGCTCATTCTCATGGAACGCTAAGAGGGAAGTGGTAGTAACCTGAGTTTAATGGACACAGAGGCAGAAAAGGAACGGAAGAGGTGGAGAGAAAGAGGGGAGATTGTGTTACACCAGACTCCTGAGCCAGACTCCTCACTGTCTTCTTCCTGTGCAGTTGGCGGTCTCGTTGGACCCCCGGCCTTCCTCCCCTCCCCTGTTAGACTTTTCTCTGCCTGGTCTTGGGTGTGAACACCTTGGGTGCTGACCTGTCATTCCTGATCTTGAACATTCCCAGCTTTTTCTAGAAACGTGTCTCTGGCTCACCATTCACCTTTCTTCACTGTTATCTACATATATGAGAAAAATGCACGTCTATACACACAAAAACGTAGTAAATAAAAGAGACCGAATACGCATCTGTCCAAAATAGCAATGTATTTCTTCTCTCGAGCACAACAGTTAAGCCTGTCGTATAGAGAGACTGGAGTCAAAGCTGATGCTAGGATGTACCTGGTTATCTTCACTAAAATAGTTCGCAGCTCAGTTAGATTAAGATGAGACCACGAATATTAAAAGATGCGAAGGCCCAGTGACTACATTCAGTCCGTGAAGATGGGAAGTGAGTTAACAATAATGGTTTGTGCAAGAACTTTCCTGTTCCTTCTTGCCATAGATGCCTCCTGACCTGTGTTTTCTTGTCCCCCGTGTGTCCCACCTCTAAGACCAACCCCCATTGAGTCGATACTTTTGTAGTAACAAATCAGGAGCTACTCTTTGCTATTTGGAACTGGAACAACATAGAAATGTTCCCATCTCTTTTCTTGGCAGGTGGAGCCGGACAGAATATTTCTGTCCATAAAGCCCCCAGAAGTCCCCTGAGTGGGATTCCAGTGAGGACCGCTCCCGCCGCTGCTGTCTCCCCAATGCAGGTATTTTGAGGGCCTTGGGTATGTGGGTGGTGGTCCAGGCCATGTGGAACCGTGATGCTCTCTAATGCTCAGGCATCAGAGGGGAAGGGAAAACCACTTGGTCTATTTTTTGAGGCACGTTGAACATCATTTTTAATACGTGTACAATAATAATAAACTTCTGTTAAAAATTATGATTTTGTGGGGTGCCTGGGTGGCTCAGTCGGTTGAGTGTCTGCCTTCGGCTCAGGTCATGATCCCGGGGTCCTGGGATCAAGTCCCACGTCGGTCTCCCTGCTTGGCGGGGAGCCTGCTTCTTCCTCTCCCTCTGCCCCTCCCCCGCTGCTTGTGTTCTCTCTCTCTCAAATAAATAAATAAAATCTTTTAAAAAATTACAATTTTAGGGCACCTGTGTGGCTCAATTGGCTAAGCGACTGCCTTCAGCTCAGGTCATGATCCCGGAGTCCTGGGATCAAGTCCCACATCGGGCTCCCAGCTCAGCGGGGAGCCTGCTTCTCCCTCTGACCCTCTTCCCTCTCATGCTGTTTCTCCTCTCGCTCGCTCTCTAATAAATAAATAAAATCTTTAAAAAAAATTAAAAATTAAAAAATTACAATTTTGAGGCTAAATAAAGGTGTGAGAGAGACACCATAAGTCTCATACGATTTGTTAATGACATTTTGTCCCCCATTAGATACATTTAAAGTTTTCAGTTCAGTGAAGATTATAATTTTTACCAGAAGTGGATATTGAACTAGATATTTTTCTCAAAGAAGTGTTTGGTTTGGTTTGGTTTGGTTTTCTAAAGCACCCCAGGGAGAGAAAATGTTTACGATTTATAAATTCTTAGGGTTCACTGGTTGCAATCTGTCACCTTTGCCATCTTCAGACGGTTCTAGATCAGAGCTTCTTGACCTCTTGGTATTTTTTCTTTTTCTTTTTTTAATTTTATTTTTAAGTAATCTCTGCACCCAACATGCGCACTCAGAACCCCAAGATCAAGAGTCACACGCTTCACGGACTGAGCCAGCCAGTCGCCCCTCTTGGCGTTTTCTAAGACCACGACTTTCAGTGTTATTAGTAACATTCAGCAGCTCCTGATAAACCAAGGGCAGCGTCATTCACAAGTACCCTCTTTTGGTGTCCTTAGTAGCCATGTATGTTGTCTGGGATCTTTTAAATTTTTCTTGTTTTTACTTTTTTGCCCTGGAAGACATTTTGTGCTACTTCATATGTAAAACCAAGTAAAACAATTACTTATTTTATAATGATCATCAAGTTTATTTGATGAAACTGAAACAGATCATGCTTCATTTTGACTTATTTTCATTGAGCTATACACACTAGGTTGCTGACAAAATGTTTAACAACTGGCTCATTGCTGGGGGGGCGGGGGGGTGCAGGGGGAGCCTGGGTTTGTGATGTTGGCCAGTTTCCATGGTGCAAATATTCCCATCATTGTCAGCATCAAGCTAGGCCCCTGATGTCAGTGAACATGGAGCTGAGAAGAGATATGTATCACATGGTATTTCTAGACCACAGGTAGAGTCGGTGTAAATAACCCCAATCATAGTGTGAAGTATAATAAATAGGAAGCATTTTGAGTATTTATTACTTTTGCTTTTAATATAGTTTATTTTAATAGTGACCATGTTGAAAACTAGCTTGCAAATTCCTGAAGATTTAACAACTGGCCTTTACGAGCAGGTACACACCACCGGCTATAATTCATGGATAAAGTAAAGCACACGCCCCTTATATGTATACAGCTTGAATGTTTCCGTATACACACACCCGTGTAGCCAACAGCAAGATAAAGCATTCATCAGCTCAGGAGGCCCCCTCATGCCACCACCCAGTGGGTAATCCCTTGAAGTAGCCATCATTCTGACCTCTGTTAGCATTAGATTAATGTTACACTGACCTGATCAACGTAAAAGAGAGTGAGTTAGGGGCGCCTGGGTGGCTCAGTCGGTTAAGCGTCTGCCTTCGGCTCAGGTCATGATCCCAGGGTCTTGGGATCGAGCCCCATGTCCTCCTTGCTCATGCTCTCTTCTCACTATCTCTGTCTCTCTCTCAAATAAATAAATAAAATCTTAAAAAAAAAAGAGAGAGAGAATGAGTTAAAAAATCTCCCATGCTCCCTAGCCCCAAAATAACCACTGTTTACAGCTTGTTGTATATCCTTCTAGATGTTTTTCTTCAGTATAAAAATGTGTGTGTGTGTGTGTGTAGGGAGGAAGAGAAAGTTTTATAAATTGGATTATACTGCACATTGTTCAGACACTGACTCATTTCACTTTGTCATTGGAATGTAATCCCTGAGGGCAGGGATTTTTTTTTTTTTAAGACTGAGAGGGAGTGGGTACATGTGTGTGCACGTGAGCAGGGGGTAGGGGGGTAGAGGGAGAGGGAGAGAGAGAATCTTAAGCAGGCTCCACACCCAGCACAGAGAGGGCAGGGATTTTTATCTATTTTTGCTTGCTGTTGTGTCTCTTGTCTGGAACAGTGGCTGGCACACAGTTCTATCACAGTAGAAGCTCGGTAAATGTTGAAGGAATGAGGGAATATATCAGAGACATCTTGAGATGTCAGTGTTTGGAGAATAACGCATTCTTCTTAAAGGCTGTGGAATGTGTGGTGATCTGTTTAACCACCCGCCTACTGATGGGCATGTAGGTTGTTTTGGATTGCAAAAACAATACAGTGAAATCCCTTCTATGGATTTTCACCCACTTTTAAGGGGCTCTTCCCGCAGGAGAGCATATGAGCATTAGCTTGCAAATACCGGAAATCACTCTAGCTCGTCCCCGCAGAAAGGAATTGAATACAGGGAGAACTCGTCTCCACTGCGCTTCCAGGAAAGGTTCCCAGAGCATCTCAAAGTTGGCCCATGAAAGGGACTTCTGTTTCTGCCAAGTCTTTCTCTAAGGGCTTGCCTAGAACTACGGCTTCTGTCAAAATTTAGCATCCGCTTTGGGCTCCCGCCGCCGCAGACGCGGTCCCTCCCAGCATAACAGATACTGTCCTCCCGGGTTTGTTCACATCGTAGCCCGTGTGACCGGATTTCCTTCTTTTTAAGGCTGAATAATATTCCATTGCGTGTACAGACCGCATCTTGCTTATCTGATTCATTGGTCCATGGACATGTAGGTTATGCCCACTTCTTGGCTCTTGTGCCTAATGCTGCTCGCAAAAATCTCTTCTAGATTCTGTTTCAGTTGTTTGGGGTATATACCCAGAAGTGGGACTGCTGGATCGTACAGGAGCTCTGTTTTTAATTTTTTGAGGAACCTGCCTACTATTTTCCATAGTGGATGCAACATTTTCTAGTCCCGCCAACAGTGCACAAAAATGCCAATTTTTCCACATTTTTGCCAACACTTGTTTTCCCTCTCTCTCTCTCTCTCTCTCCTTTTTTTAGATAATGACCCTCCTAACAGGTACGAGGTGGTATCTCATTGTAGTTTTTAATTTGCATTTCCCCAATGATGAGTGAAGTTGAGCATCTTTCCATATATACCTCTTGGCCATTAAAAATCAGTATTTTTACACACCCCCCTGGGATATATGTAGAATTTTCCAGGAAGGTACTCACAAAGCTGACTACTAATGATTACCCCCAAAGAGAAGAACCAGGTCATGGGAGTCAGAGGGAGACTCTTCTCACTATATGTCCTTTCTGTGCCTTTTTGAGCATTGCGTCAACTGCATTTGTTACCTATTCAAATAAATAAGTGGTTTTAAAAGCTTCCCCTGGTGATTCTGATGAGCTCGAGAGCTGTTGCATGGACGCGCACACACACACACACCTTGTTTACGCTGTTGCTGGTGTTACAAGCTCACTAATGCTGGTGTGCCCTTTGGTTTTTTAGAGACATTCAACCTACAGCAGCGTTCGGCCGGCCAGCAAAGGTGGGACTCAGCGTTTGGATCTTCCAGACCTTCCCCTCTCAGGTAATACCTTAAACAGCAAATGCTTCGGGGATGCCTGGGTGGCTCAGTCGGTTAAGCATCTGCCTTTGGCTCAGGTCATGATCTCAGGGTCCTGGGACTGAGTCCTGCGTCCGGCCCCTTGCTCAGCAGGGAGTCTGCTTCCCCCTCTGCCTCTCGCTTCCCCTGCTTGTACTTACTCTCTCTCTCTCTCTGACAAAGAAATAAATACAGTCCTTAAAAAAAAAACAAAAACTAAAAAGCAGCAAATACTTTTGACTTATTATTTTGTGAGGTCAACTTTTCTTCTTTACCGAAAACCGAGCTTAGAAAAATAGTTGATGGCATTTATTTCAAACAATTTAAGACTCTGTGTGTTTGTGTTCTGGACGTTAGATCCTACTTCTTGCCACTGTACTTCTCAGTGTGCATGTGTTCGGGAGAAATGTCTAGCTTTGGGGAAGTTTTTTGTTTGTTTTTTATGGAATCTCAAGAGAATATCTTACCATCTTTAAAAGTAACTATTTTTAGAAAAAAAATCTTATCTGATTCTGAAGGTCCCTTGCTTCCACAATTCCTAAAATATGCCTCTTCGGTGATATCTTTGCCCTTGAGTGTAGCCCTCCTCCTGTTGTTACTCCGGGTATTTTTAAAATCCAGATCCTGACGATGACGTGGTGGTTAGAATCCACAGTCCTCTGTGTCACTTTGTCACTCCTGCGCCTTGCGCTCTGGTGACCGGTGTGAAGCCGCAGTTACAGAGGGGGGCACACAGGGGTGGGCTTTCATCTTGGCCCCATTATTCCACCTCTCTGGGCTGTGGTTTCATCATCTCTGAAATAGAAATAGTGCTGTCTCCCTCAGAGGATCGCTCCAGGGGCTGAACAAACACAGCCGGGTGTGGGGTGAGCAGAAGGGTTGACCTTCACCTTAGCTTCTCCCTTTCCCGTCAGTTCACCTGTCAGAACAGAGAGACATGAGTGGAATGGTAAGCTTGTCCCGAAAATATGCCTCAGAAATGTATGTATATGACCCTGTGGCCCTTGTTATAAGGCAACACAAAAGATGAACAGTAAACGAATTGTTTACTGGTGCCTATTGGAAGAAAGCCAGAAATCCAGGTTGCATCGATAGAAATCCCTTGTTTTTAAGTGTCAGACCAAATTTCTGTAACACAGCCACGGAATCAAAAGGAATTCCCACTGTTCTTCTTTTAGATCATGGTCAGACGTAGTCAGGTTTATTCTTAAAATAGTTGTTTCTATGAGATAAAAGTTTCACTTTTTGACTGGAAAGTCTTTTACCTCACCACCTTATTTTTTTCCACTTCTGAATTTCGTTTTCTTTTTCATGGCATAAAAAGATTTTAGACTTAAACACTGATATTGAGAATTTGAAGACTACCTCAGCCCATCCCTTGCATTTTACACGTGAGAGATTCAAGCCCTACAGAGATTAAGTGATTTATAACGCCCCTCCCCGCCCCCTGATTTTGAATGGCTCTGGGACCAGGATAGGATTTCTTCTGATTCTTTCTACCATGCTGCCTTTTGGTAATGAGGCGGGGGGATTGCTCTGATCAGCAGCCTCATAAAGAAGTGATAAAGGTTTCTTATAGGACTTGGAGTCATCATAATGACTCCAAGAAGAAAATGGTGTCTAAGGGCAGGAGAATAAGAAAAAACCAGAAGGGGTGAGTAAGTCCAGCAGAGCAGGTCATGGTATTTCTGTGCAAACCGAGCGCCCCCTTCCTAGAAATGGAAGGGAGGTCAACACAGAGTATTGGAAACCCACCTGATTTGCGTTCTCTACACTTGCTGTGTAGTGGAAAATTGGGGATAACTTGGTTATGTGCACAGTGATGTGTACCTAGGCAAGCCTTTTTTTTTTTGTAACTGTGGCTAAAATACGCATAACACAAAACGTACCATCTTAACCATGTTGAAGTGTACCAGATGAGCTTTTCGTCATAATATTTGTGTCTTCTCTAAGCCTCCCACTTTACCTTTTGTGTAAAGAAGCTGTTGTTTTAATTGACAAGCTAAATCCTGGTGCTCAAACCACAGTAGCTATTGCCCTGAAGTAAACAGTTCCTTGTCAGTGCCCCCTCCCCCTTTGCCCCCACCGGGCACCTGTCTACCGGGATGATTCTATTTACTATACTAAAAAAGGATTACACGGTAAAAACTGCTTTGCTTTCAGGCTAGCCTTGCCAGCATTGAGGTCATCAGAAGCTGCCAAAATGGGATTAATGCACTGTTTTTGTTGTTCTCTTTAGTGATGTAAGCACTGTTTTTCCTCTCCTCTTCCAAGCTCATTAGCCTCACTCTCCGCTTCACGCCCCATAATTGGCGGCTCTTAGCCGTACAAGTATTGTTTTCTTCCATCACTACTTATGGTGTCATAGGAGGTGACCGTGGGCTCAGCCTGGTCACAGAGGCCTGTCGTGTGGCATTGAGCAAGTCACCCCATCCTCTGAGTGCCCGTTGCCTCTGTCAATACAAACCAGACGCTATGGAGATTTTCTCCCATTCTGTGCTCTTGTGGTCCTTGAGGAACTATCATCCGGAGGATTCAGCCTGTTTCGTTAACCTGTTTTGACTCCTACTAAAACAGCAGAGAGGAGCCTTCAAAGAATTTATGTTTGCTTATTTTTAGCAAGCCAGACCCTATGACTGGAGTGGCTTTTTTTTTTCTTGTAAAATCGTTACCGTTCTTGGTACCCAGGTTTTTGTCTGCTGCCACCTCTGACTTGAAAATCCCATTGGGCATCTTCCTGCCAGCTCTCTGTCTCTCTCAGATGCCCATCGACTAAAACAAAGTGCTTTACTTGGGAACAGGGCTGACTCTGTGGGGGTGTGACCTGTGCAGGGTGCTTAGAAGGGCTTTGGCTCAAGACTCTAGAGGTGCCATCTTGAAATTCTTAATAATTTTTGAACGAGGGGCTAATTTGGCATTTGTGTCTACGAATTATGTAATCGGTCTCCTGCCTGGAGAATCCTTTCTAGAAAAGGCCATGTCCCTATGTGCATTTTTATTCCTTAATTCAGAAACTCTCTATATTTATTACATATTTGTACTTAGAAAGAAAATGAGAATTCTTTTGTACTTGAGAAGAAAGTGTGGTGACCATTCAAATTTCTCTTCTTCAGGAATGGGTGATTATGTTGTTCTTCACACAGATCTCCTAAAGGGAAGGGGTGAGGACCTGAAACCGGACCCTTATCTCCGGAAGAGTCCCTCCCTGGAGTCTCTGAGCAGACCCCCTTCTCTGGGCTTCGGGAACACGAGGCTGCTGAGCGCCTCCACCGGGGGCTTGAAACCACAGAGCAAACTCAGGTATCACATTTTACACAGTGAGACATCACTGGGCAGATGACCTTGTAGTCTTCCTTCTGTTTTACCCCCTGTGGTCAATTTACTTGTATGTGTATTTCCTGAGTGAAATCAGACACAGTACCTGCCTTCAACAAGGGAGGAGGGCCCTGGACAGCAGGACTGTGCAAAGCGAAAGAAGGTCTATAAAAACAGAAATACACGCAGACTCTTGCGGGGGTTGTTACTTGGGTCAAGAAGTCTGGAGGCGGGGAGGCAACATTTCTGCCAGGGGGCCTGCAGGGGTCCCCGGAGGAGCTCTGCACAACATTCAGGGGACTAGGGGTGGTTTCCTTTGGTTAGACTAGCCTGGGGGCTTCAGGAGGGGAGGGGCCCTGGCAGACACACCATCAGCTGCCGGTATCTGCTGGGGAGGTGGGTAGATGCTCAGGATATCACGGCTGGAAAGGCGGGTTGGAGTCCCCTTGCGAATGGTCTTCATTGCCACGGTTAGAGGTTTGTACTCATTTTGGTAAAGCAGTGGGGAACCAGTAAGTTTGCAGGATTTGGATTTGGATTTGAGTAGTGGTCCAGGAAACAGTGGCATATAGGAAGGATTGGAGGGGCATTTTGAAGTCAGCGTCGAAAGAGCACATTAGCAGTGATGTGAGAGGTAGAGTAGGGGCGAGAAGGGACAGAGACTGCCAGGGCGGCCATCAGAGGCCTGGCGTGGCTCCCACCTCTGCCACTTCCTCCCTCTTCAGTGCCCCTGCTCCCCCAGACCCCAACAAGCCACCTCCAGCCACTTCCCACCCTCCCCTCGCCCACTGCTTCTCCACGTGGAGTCCATCTTCGAAAACACGGAGCACATCCCGTGCAGACCTTCTCAGAAACCTCCTGTGACTTGTCATGCACCCTTCCACCCACGCTCCTTGTTCTGCTCCCTCCGTTCTGCGCGGCTTAGCCCCACCCAGCTCACCTGCCACTTTTATTCTCAGCCTTTGCAGCTAACACGAGCATTTGCCACCACTCGCAGGGTCCTGGCCTGAATCGTCTCCTTCCTGTCCTTTCACACTCCTGAGTGCTTCCCCTGCAAAGTCAAACCTTCCCATGCCTGGGTGGCTCAGTCGGTTAAGCGTCTGCCTTCAGCTCAGGTCACGATCCCAGGGTCCTGGGATCGAGCCCTCATCGGGCTCCCTGCTCAGTGGGGAGTCTGCTTCTCCCTCTGCCTCTGCCCCTCCTCCCCGCTCGTGCTTTCTCTCACTCTCTCTCTCCGAATAAATAAATAAAATCTTAAAAAAAAAAAAGTCAAACCTTCCACGAGGTGGTAGCAAGCCCCCCGGGTGGCATCAACAGCCCCTTTCTCTGCCTTCCATGTCTTATGCTGAATCGGGTATTTAATGCACTGTTGCATCGTGTGTGTGCCTCTGTCCCCATTTATTTAGGCTGTACTTTAGTACACAGTAAATATTTCGACTCACGCTTTGATCTCTTCCCCGGCCCCCTGGGCCATGCTCCACACATAGCATTGCATCCAGCCAGTGCGTTGGAATGGGTAGATGGATGAATATACAAAACTAGCCACTTTGGGAGTAATAGCTACTTAACAACCATTCTAACTACCATTATGAGTATTGTAAAAGGATTTTATGAAAGTCTCAGTAAGTTCAGCTCTTGTCATATCTTTGGGCGTAGCTTATATTTGGACCCAAACAGATGAAGTCATATCTTTCAGAGATTTAACTTAAAGCCCCAGATACTACATATTAGCCTTGTTTATGCACAGGAGATTTAAGTGATCAAAACTAGTTTTAAGGACCAGAATTAGTGCTATCCTGAAACTGCTCTTTTCTTTATGCCAGAAATGCGTACAAAAAGGCTATGTGTGTATTAATATGCAATTTATATTACACCCTTCATCATGAAAGATTAAATTGGTGGAGATTAATGTGTTATTTTATTTTTGTATTCACGTCATTGGGACAAACAAATGACAGGATAGAAATCACTTGTTTTGGAAGTTCTCATCCTATTATTATTAATTTGGAGAGCGCATCGTATCTTTTTAACCTTATTTTTTAAAGAAACCTGTTCAGTTAGTGTTTTGGGCATCCACGGATACAGAAACTCTTTTCCAAACCTTCATTTCAGTCTTCCCTAGTTTGTCAGACCTAGAAATTCAGTTCTAAGTGATGAAGTAACAAACACAGGCAAAGTTACTGTAACTTCATAGTTAACAGCGACTCTGACCACAGAAACTCTCATGGACTTAAGTTGACAAATATGCCAGGTGCAAGGGACAATAGCCATCAAATTACAAAAGAAAAATTTTAATGCAGTTATGACGTTTTCTTAAAAATCTCTCTACCTTAATTCAGATTGCTGAGGTCTGGAATCATCCCATTACTCCTTAATAAAAATATTTTAAAGTGGGGCGCCTGGGTGGTTCAGTTGGTTGAGCGACTGCCTTTGGCTCAGGTCATGATCCTGGAGTCCCGGGATCGAGTCCCCCATCGGGCTCCCTGCTCAGCGAGGAGCCTGCTTCTCCCTCTG